ATATTTCGAGAATCCCAAACGAAGAAAATCATGGGTTGATCCAGGCCAACATCGACTGCAAGACCAAATCGCTTCGGAAAGAAGACAATGTTCTGTGTTTGGTGGGATCAAAAGAGTGTTATTTATTATGAACTTCTCAAATCTGGTGAAACGGTTAATGCTGCTCGCTACCGATAACAAATGATTAATTTGAACCATGCATTGATCACAAAACGTTCGGAATGGACCCAAAGACATGGAAAAATGATTTTGCTACATGACAATGCGCCAGCCCACATCACAAAAGTTGTCAAGGAAACTTTAAGAGAATTGAATTGAGATGTGCTACCTCACCCGCCGTATTCGCCGGACATTGCTCCTTCGGACTATCACTTATTCCGGTCGATGGCGCACGGATTGGCTGAGCAGCACTTCGCTAATTTCGAAGAAGTGAAAAAATGGATCGATTCATGGTTTGCTTCGAAATATGAAAGTTTCTATCGTCGCGGAATCCATCTTTTGCCAAAAAGATGGGAAAAAGTTGTAGCGCATACTTCAAATAAATAGCTTTAACCATTCACTTCAAATTAACATGTATTTTTCCTTTAAAAAATCTGCATTTCATAGGTATACACTTGGTAATGTTACCTTTGCTCTGTAATGCCAAACTATATGTGCACCAAGATTGCTGTGAAACGTGTGCGGTAGACTGTGTTCCAATTTGTCCCGGTAGGCACTTAGCAATCTTTCGAATGGATGTCGCACTATCAAGAAACTAATACTGTCGTTCAGAAATTTAGTTAATTCCTCCGCAGTGTGTCTAGGATACCTCTGTCTAGCCAACGAAACCGGCACTGCCTTTGAAGCTTTCAGGAATTGCGGACTATATCTGCAATGTTAGCGCTATCGCAATTATTTATCGACTTGATTGTTTGCAATCAGGTCCAGTTAATTCAGTTAATTTAATCCAGCATTTCTCTCTTTCGGATATATAACGATATGTAAAGATAATAGAAATAGAGGTTAGATAATAGAAATAGAGAATTTGGCAAATTTTAGGAATAACAGTTTTATTTATAGTACTATTTTTATCTCTTTCTTTTTCTTAACTTCTGTATCTTAATAATTATATTTTGTAGTTTATAACATATAGAGAAAATATATAGAACATATATATAACATATAGAAAACGTATAGAAAACATATTAATATGTTGCATTCTATTTTCATTATTCTTATTTTTGCCGCTTAAGAACTCATTTGTAAGTAATATAAATAATGATGGGACTTACCCTGCGAGTAAATTGAAATTATACATCCACGACGTGGAAGCCGCTTTGAAAACATTACACCATATAAGGTGATATTCTTTATTTACAAGGAACTCCCAGGCATTTGGCCTGTGAAGTGAATCGTTACCAGGACGATCGAGTCCTTCTTCGGCGCATTTTTCCGCCAGGAATTTCCGTCTAACTATTAAACGTTGCTCGGTTTCCGCTGCAGCGATCTGCTCCAATATTTTCTCTTCTGGTGTTAAATTCGCGTCCTATTAAAATATATGAAAGGTTTATTTGTAAAACAAAACTGACGGAGAAAAAGCAATTTTGTCACAACAATTATACATGAACGATGCGTTATATCTCACAACAATGTTTTTGGCGGTACAATTTCGACGATATTTAAAATCCGTTTAACGATATCATTGTTTCTTATACATTTTTTTCAAAATTTGAAAATCGTAGAGTTTTAGAATATCACGTAAAATCATGGATGTAGGAATATAAGGATAGAGCGTAAGCTGAGTTTATGAGCAAGGGGGGTGAAGCCGATTTGAGGGATGAGATATCTCTAAAACTGCCTGAATTTGATTGGTTGAGTTGTACTCATGCGCAGTACCGCCAATTATAAACGAAGTATTAAGAACATGAACATATAATTCAGAATAATACGTGAAAAATTAATAATAATATAATGGGTAGGAGGCGATTCTATGCAAAAATAAGTAAAAAAAGAATATTTTTTTATTGCAGCTTCGTTTTCGAAAAAATCAAAGTTAAAAATTTGTCGAGTAAAGATCTTACTCTTGGCAATGCATTCCGCTTAATTGTACATATACACATAGAGCCACTGTTAGTAAATGAGTAAATACTGTTAGTAATCTTTGTTAAAGTGCAGAGAGCAAACGCGGGATGAATTCGATATTGATTTAATATGTAATATATCAAGCCAAAATTTATGAAGCATATTATCTTTTGGAATACTGTGAAGAATATTTAAAAACAGTTTTTCATTAACAGTTCATAATCATTAAAAGGTTATCTTAACTATAAAATGTGATTTTTTTTTACTTTACTTTTTCCCAATTTTGGCAGTCCGATCTGCTTTTGCAAAAAAGAACACAACATTGCACCATTACTCCAACGATTTATTAACAATAAACAATAAGACAATATTTGCTAACCTCCTCACACGTACTCAGACGTTAGTGGACGCTAACATGTGGTTTGTTTTTTTCAATTGCACTGCTACACTGGTGCAATAAATTCAAGTGAAATAAAATATATTTGTCTCATTCTAACTTATTGCACCAGTACAATAGTGTAGCTGGAAAGAACAAACCTATGGATGCAAAGACGGTACTATTACGCTTGCGCATAGTAAAAACCAATCAAAACCAGGCACAGTTTTTACCTCGTCCCCCTCTCTCTGTGGCTTCACCCCTCCGAGATTACACTCCATCCTTATATTCCTACATCAATGCGTAAAACCATCACTGTCACTATTATCAACGGTTACTTTGACTTAAATTCATAGTTAACAAGCATGCACTATATGAGAGACTGTTTTAATAGACTATGAAATGAATCGCTGTTATATAAAGGAAATCGAGTATGGTTGTCACATTTTTTACTGAATAAGAAAAAAGATGTGTGCAATATTTGTTAATATTGTACACATTTTCAAATAGATATTGAGTGTACAACTTAATTCGGTCCGTTTTTTTGTTTGAAAAACGCATTTATTTGAATGATAAAATGAATTAATACATTATTGAAAGTATTGTCCATCGCTAGCCACTACTTTTTCCCATCTTTCGGGCAATTTATGGATTCCGTCGCGGAAGAAGCGTTCATCTTTTGAAGCCAAGAATGAATCGAGCCAATTTTTGATACCCTGTTCTGAAGTGAAGTGTATTCCAGTCAAAGCGTTCTGTATCGATCGAAACAAATGGTAGTCGGAAGGGGCAAGGTCTGGGCTATAAGGCGGGTGAGCCAGAACTTCCCATCCGCTATTTTCCAAATAGTTTTTAACCGGAACAGCAACATGAGGCCGAGCGTTGTCATGGTGAAAGATTATGGACTCGTGTCTGGTCGCATATTCTGGACGTTTTTCGGC